TGCTCTTGCTTAAAATTCTCCTCTCAAAGGAACAGTATTTGATAGTGTACCGTAGTGTTATTGAATATATTCTTCCAACTAAAAGGCTTATGATGAGAAATTTGGTCTGCATCTCTTAGCACACTCGATCCCCGTCTTCCTTTCTTCTCCTTTTATGTCTTTTTTTCTTTCTATTTCTTAGCTTTATTAACATAGAGCACGAAACTTTCAACCAGTTGAGAAGCATTCAGTCCTTGGCAATTCCATACACGAGGATTGATCCATTAGTCTTAACTTCTCGTCAATTTTGGCCTTGGATATAAGCGTTCAAGTGGTATGAATGCGTGTAGAATTCATTTTCGATCTAGTAAACCTAGGACCATCCCGAAGTGGTTAGGAGGGAGGCGTTACTGAAATCGTGCAGAACTCAAGAAAAATTTTCGGAATTTGAAGTTCCTCCCTCCTCACTCGTCGCTGGTTCCCTGATTCTCTGATTAAACCAACATAAGAGTTGGACAGTTTTTTTATACACATCTACGTTCACGCTTTTTTTGCATCACTTCCTATCGATCATACATAGCAAGTCTAATTGGATAATATCGTATAGATATTTTGATGTTTTGCATAGAGAAATTTAACCATTCTCTTCAAATAAATTAGAGTCTATCTATCTTTTTCTTATTTTTATGTAATTGTACCCAGTTATATTTTCTTTTACTATTTACAAGTTGTTTTCATAACAAAAATAAAATGACGTTCTTTCTAAAAAAAAAAAATAACAATTTTTGAGCAATATTAATAAAAAATGATAAAGAGTTATAACAATCATTTATTTTATAATGACTATGAAAAAGAAGAAATTAATCAAGTCACTGTTAGGAAAAACTTTAGCGAATCCTTATTCTACTACCAGTTAAAGTGAAGCATCAATCTATAATATTAAAAATTTAGATACGCTTAAAAAATCATGGAATAATATGTAAAAGAAGAGACGGCTATTGATCACAGCAAAAAAACAGAAAATTTTACTGTTAATGTATACAACTACATGTCTATCAATTTTCTTAGTCTTTCTACATGTAGATTGAAATTGTGCATGCAAAGACGTTTCCAATTGGTGTTGAGTTAGAATTATTTGTGTAGTTGACAGTAGATGTTACTTAAAATGAATAGATTTCTAACACATATTCTTGTGTCAAACAAATAAGAATGCTTTCACACTTCATTTATTTTTACACAAAATTACCATTAATTTCGACTATGTCCATCTCTGTTGGAGATTGATTTTTTTATTATAATTATTTATATAACTGTTTAAAACATCGTCACGTATTGACTCCTGGTAGTGGCTATGTTTATTGTTATGATTTTCTTCTAAAATCGTTATTTGGGCTTTTTTCTAAAATTTTTAAATGGTGATATGGATTTAGTTGTTGATAACGTTTTTACTAATGATGTACTCACAACACTACTACTATGTGATGTATGTGCAACATGGACTATTGTTCCATTGTTATTTGCTTTATCTATGCCATCTTGTAACAATTTTTGATCAACATCACCATCACATTGATGTTTATTTTTCTTTTTTGATTTTGTCCTATTATTAAAATAACAGCAATAAATTTTTGTAAATTCTAATCGAAATTTTGTACCATAAACAATGAAGAGTATAAAACTTGTTGCAGCATTAAAAATAGCAGCTGTATTTGCCACTGTATGAAATCGTCTCAATGGCATTTTTGTTTTTACTTCAAAAAATAAACTTGCTTTAACTAACCATAAAATTGATAATAATAATAATGGTAAACGAAATAGAACAAGGCAAACTGTAGTAGCAATTAACATAATTGTAACACCTATCGATGAAAAAATAGTAAAATTAATACTATCATCGGATTAAGAACTTCTAATTACACTATTGTGGGCTTTAAAAGATCATAGTAAATATTTACCTTGTTTAGATGGTAGTGGAGCATTAATTTCTTCGGAACGTTTTTCTAATAAACGTATAGCTGTCAATAATTGTCTATTTAATATAGCTATTGTCATCAACGGAATAATATATACTACACAAGCATTTATTGTAACATAAATCCATCGAAACGTTCCATTTCTTCCGAGTGCTGTCAATTGTTGACGATAAATTTTTTTTTTCATATTAAATAAGACAACTTCAACTGGTTCATACTCAAATAGTAATGGTAGTGCATATAATAAACCGAGTAAATTAATAAAAACTGTCACATAACGTGCATTTTTCATTGTACAATACTGTGGACCGATAAATGGTTGACATATCTAAATTATAAGAAAAATATTAGTTTAAATAAAATTCTAAATGATAATTATATTACCATTATCCATCTATCAACAGTGAAAGCAAAACATAGCCAAACACTGACAGCTCTCGCCGTTGTACTAATTACACCCGTTATGATTAAAAAACGTGACATACTGTATGTCTTTGGTAATTCATATTCAAGTATGGATATTGGGTATGCATCAAGCAAACATAATGGTAATAAACAGACACATGCTGTAAAATCACTTAAACATAATCCAGCTAAATAAACATATGTCGATAATTTCATTGTGCGACGTATTAATACGGAAAAACTCAACGCATTACTAATAATACCCAATATACAAAATACCACACCACAAATACCATTAGCATAATGTTCAAATGGATCACGTGTAAACGATGTTCGAAGTGTACGTTCAATGTCACGCAAATCTAAATGAACATCATCAATTTGATATCCATCGGATGAATTCATTATGTGATATTGCTGTTATACAATTGTATGTTCATCTAAAATTGAGAAAAATAAATAAATTTTATTTCACTAAATATCGTAACTGACATCGTCTATTCACACTATTCGAAAAATTTATTGGAAAATAAATTTTATTTTTTGATTTCTTTTGATCGATGCAAGAGATGATTGAAAGAGTGAAGATAATCATTAACTCGTTCTAAGGGGAGCGGGGATCTCTCCCATTTATATTTGGTTCAAACTTTGCCAGATTGTAGAGGACACTTCGAAATATATATGAAAAAAGTTTGAAGGTTTAAGGAGTTGTTCAGAATTCGTTAAACTAGATTTTTACATTAAATTTTCAAAAAAAATTTAAAATTTCAATTTAATCTGATTCTGAACAACTTTTATACCAACATTTTTCATTGAAAATGCTTTCTTCGAGCAAAATTTGGTTCAAGATGCTTTTAAAAGTACCTTTTGCTTCAAAATTTCATGAGGCAGATCAAAACGGAATAACTCAGTCGAAACTTGACCCAATTCTTTTGTAGATACATCTTGATGTCCTCTATCGATTGATAGCAAAATCCAGGTTATAAGTAGATATTTGAAAATTTTATTAAAATTTTAAAAACAGGGCAAAAAAATTGAGGAAAAACTTTAAAAAATATTTTCTCAAAAATTACAAGTCCAGTGATTGAAAAAATGTTACCATATGTATTTCAAATTGTCTCCTACAGACTGGTGAACAAACGAGTCCCCGGATCGGCGCCCCCGCCGGGGGCGGCCGGCCGCGCGGGCGGGGGCGCGCCGGGGGCGGGNTATTGAAGATACACAACTTTTTCTCGTTCTTGTTTCTTGTGATATGCACAATAAACTATACAAACAGCAGGACGAAAAGAAAGAATTATCCTACGGTGTATATTTTGAGAAGTAAGACAGTCTGCACATTGTTATGCTAGCCGGATAACGATGAGGGGAAGAAAGAATGAAATATAATGACTGATGATTAAAACTAATTATTATGTAAATGATTTTGTCAGATTTTTGTCTAATTTATTCAAGTTACCTTTTCAAGATAATTTTCCAATAATAACAGTTTACATAGTACAGGAGTAAGACGACATTTGATTGCATTATATCAGATAGATAAATAATAAGAATTGACATCTGTTAAACGAATATAGAAATTCAATTTGACAATATAAGAGTGAGACAAAACAAAGAGAAAATAGAAAATATTTGACAAAAAATAGTTGCACAAAGATAAGCATTGGTAAACAGAAGTGGATTAAACCTTTAAAATTTCTAAATGAAAAATCTTTAATTTCTATCATTAACAGATAATTACTATTTTTAGCGAAGATGGTTTGTAGTTCAATAATAAAAATGGCTATATTCTATATAGATATGTTATCTTCATCAAAAAATCGTTTACCGTGTCGAACTGACTACTTCACTTCTGTCGATGACTATGTATATCTATTTTGCGGGCATAATAACTTTTATAATATTCCCGTTTTTTCACTAATAAACATCGAAAAATATATCGATACATTGTCAATAGATCCACTTTTTCTTTTCTCTTTGTCTTATTCCATTCTCTCTTATATTTGTATCTTCAATAAAATAATAAGAAACTATTATTAATCATCGAGGATTACGTGAATACTTTAGACTAGATCATAATAATGATGATCAATTCCTATTCTAAACACGATAGCATTATATCTATCAGAGTTTAAATGTTGATGCAAGTGCAATTTTCACATGCTAATCCGCAAATAATGACTAAACAATGAATACATGATTACTCATTGATACAACAACAGAAACGAAATCAAGCTAGATTAATTATCAGTCATGCAAAACAAAATGTGCAACAAAAACATGTAAATGACATAACCAACCAATGCTCTGTCCACCGACAATATTAAAAAAGAAATATTCACTAAGATCTTGGATTATTAATATATTGCATCTAAACATTGATTTATCTTCTTTTTTTTCGTGGAAACTAATGTTCTATTATTCGTTTAGTTTATCAATCATTCCAATTGTAGAAGTGTGAAATATAAAATCTTTTCGTACTCTATCCGAGATTCTTATTATACATCTCTTGTTCAACTGAGTTTGAGCAAGAGCAAAACAAATAATTACTGAGCGTATAACTCTCTTCAAATCTCTGAAACTATAAACAATTTCATTCTTATTTGACAAAATTAGATTAGAATCGGGATAAATTTATTACTATTTTTAACAATAATGATTATATAGAAATCATCACGTAATTTTTGTCTATTTTGAAGGAATAGATATTGACATTTTTTTATTCCATATTCCAATTGTTTATTTATTGTGTACATAGTTATGTATAAAACAGATATCATACTTACCGGTTGTGTTTTAACAGGTTTTCATTTAATCAACGGAATAAAGTTTGACATATTTTCTATTAGACATACAGATGGACAAATATAAAAGCACAACAGGACATCAAATATCTGAAAAAAAAAACAAGATTTCTATTTTGGTTACATTAATTATTATTCTTTTTTTTCTTTTGCATATTATTCACAATAAATTCGTACTAAAAGACGACGTGTTAAGATCATTTTCATGTTCACATGTCAACGTAGCATTTTATTTTCAAATTGTTGCAGACTGTATTTATTCTAATGGAAAAATAGAAAAATAGAGAATGAAAAAAGACTACAATATTTTTAGGTTTAATCTATTTGACTGGGCGAATTTGACATTATTTTTTTTGGCTAAATCCCAATTTACTGCGAAGAAAAAATATTATATTCAAGTTACAAATCAGTAAACAGACACTAACAATATAATAAATCGGATTAAATAAGAAAATGATTTCTTCCATAATAACCTCATCCCACAAAACACACATATATACCATATGTCAGGTTTATCAAATATATTGTAGTTGACAAGCAATGAAGTTGTTCTATGAAGTTTTAGTGGCATATTCGATTCTATATTAGTGCCATTAAACATGAAAATTATCAGCCATAGAAGGATATGACCAATTATATATGTGTCGAATAAATACAGGTTTCAAAAAATATCATTAAAAATTCTGTACTCTTTTTTTTTTCTATACAATAAACTAAATTGAAACATATGGTAATTGCTTCATGTAAATCATACTGTAATTCTTGGAACAACTGTTATTCACATCACTGGATAATTTTCATGAGTGATATACATTTATCAACACTGTGAGACATTAGATAAAGCATGATAGCAGGACTGGGCGGGTTCGGAGAGGATGCTGAGTCCAAACCAAGACCAAATCATGAAGTGAGTATTTTGTATAATGACAGTCGTCATACAAACCGTAAACCAAACTGAATTTTACTTTAGTATATAAAAAATACTAATAAAAATTTTTTTCAGTTCTCTTTTACTTTTTAACGTAAGTTAGATAATATCGATTAGAAGATCTATGAGAATGGTTTTTGAGCAATAGTAACTACACTGTCACAAAAACAAAATTACCCACAGATAAAGTCAAATTTTTGCCTGTTGTGTTAAAAGTAAAACACAAAATCTCCGTCTTTTTATATATATACATGTTCCGAAGAAAGCATAGAAGTGGACAGTAGAGAATCTGTGTAAATAGAAATGCTTGGAAATTTTTTGGAATTTAAAGAATCCTGTGATTCGATCCTACAGAATCGATATTGATTCTTGTAGGATGCGTTTGATGCTAGTACTGATCAGAGTTAGCTGCCCACTCTAACAGATATATCCGTAAAGTTGAATTATATTTTGTGATACGTCTATCAAGAACACAAAGAAACTTTTTTTATATAAAACTGTTATAAGAACGTAAAACAGTGAATAGATTCTGTATAAGAAAATGAAAAACTAATACTAGCTATAGAAAATGTGATACAATCCAATAGGATTTCTTAGTTGTCCTGTAAGAATAGGATCTCACCAGGATACTTACCAGGATATTTTGATTAGATGAGGTTATAACGGTTTAGGAAACATATGAAGGGATAAGAGTAAACGAAAAAACAACAATATCAAATTTGGATGAGTTGTCGGCCAAGTTGATTGAATCTTGAAAGATGACATTTTCGTTCACTCTTATCTTCTAATATTTCTTTTGAGCCGTTATAACTTCATCTAGAACGTTCAAGGACTCGTGCTTTACTTAAAATTTCATTTGCTTTTACATACTTTCTTTGAACATGCTAATGAATCCACAGAATCATTGTCAAAATTGTAGATTCTTCATGGAATATATAAAAAACCCTAATTTTTGAACAATGACTCTACAGATTCTCTGCTGATTCTCATGATTCGTACTTCTTTGCTTTCATCGAAACATGTATATACTGTTGGATCTGCACAGCGGATAATAATTTTTCTTTATTCAACATTTTCTTTCACTTTAATTAGCATAATTATGCATCTGCTCAAAAGATGTACTTTATTTAAAAACACACTCATATCTACAAGTATCTATTAAAAGAAATTATTCTCGAATGCCATTGTCATTATGGAATGTGTTGATTTTTTTTTCCGTTCAAAACTGATGTTAAAATAACATTTTTAACTCTATGATTTCTAAGAAAATCAGACAGTAATAAAACTAGCAGGATATTGTTTGAAAAATCAAAGATATTTTTTTTCCAACAAATCTGATGTATCTCACTTGAATGTAAATTCACTGAACTAAAAGCTTAAATGTTGGCCAATAAGAAATATATTTAATAAAAAAAAACCTCTTCTCTTTTAGTTTATAAAGGTGTTACCGAGAAGAGCGTCTTTTTTTTTCTTGAATATCTCACGGAAAATCTGTTTTAACAATAGCTTCTTAACTCTACCACTAGTAAAAACATCATTTCATGCAGGGAAAAATTCATCTAAGACGTTCTCGAAACAAAGATGATGATGATAGATAAGCTCTGAAAGCTAATGTACTACTTAAAATAGGACATCCATACGCTGTAAATGATCACCAACTCTACGGTATATCGTAT